TAACATTTATTGGACACATAACAAGAAAGCACATAGACATTACATATGTTTAATTTTCATAATAAGCCTGTGATTAGTAGTTACTATTGTTTCCATTTTATTGATGAGGGAAATGATGTTTAGTGAGGGCAAACAACTTCCCAAATTCCCCTTACTAGTAAGAAACAGAACCAAAATACAAAGTTCTCCTTATTGCATTTGGTTTGTTTCTAGTGTTATTTTTTTAATCATTTAGGGCTAGTGCACATTCTGGCTTCCAAAATATTTTTAACTATACTCCTATTAAGTGGTACTAACAGATCATAGGGCATGTACATATTCAACTCCACTATGACATGCAACTCTGCATTTCATGAAAGTAATATGATCACAGTCCCTTTAGAAATGAGTGAACAATGATCATTGTGGCATAGTAGGTAAGCTCAAGCTTGGAATGCTACTTAAATATCAAAAGACCAGGGTTTCGGACCCTGTTCTTCTTCTAATCCAGCTTCCTGCTAATGCATACTCTGGGAAGCAGCAGCTGATGGTTCAAATACCTGGATCCCTATAACCCTATTGGGAGACCAGATGGAGTTCCAAGTTCTTGGTTTTGACCTGACCCAGGCTTGGCTGTTGCAAGCATTTAAGGAGTGAACCAGTGGATGGAGGAGCTCTCTCCCTCTCCCTGCCTTTCAAATAAATGCAAACAAATAATTTTTGAATTATTAAGAGTTTTTGTGGCTCTACATTCTTTACAATGCCTGATACATTTTGAAAGTTTAATTTTCTGAAGTTTTGTGCTTTTAATTTACTTTCCCTTGGTTAACAATAAGATTGACTATCTTATCAAATGTTTATGGAGTATCTTTGTTTTTTCAAATTTATACATTTCTGTTCATTGCTTTTATTTGCTTTTGTTCACCTGAGTATTTAAATATAAATATACAGATGTCCCTTGACTTTACAATGTGGTTGCATCCAAATAAGTCAATAATAAACCTTCAATTTCATTTTCCAACTTGTAGAGAAAGAGCCTTCATAACAGAAAAGGGCAAATTGAAGTAATTGAAACACATTCCCATAGCCAAGACACTAAATTGTAACCTAGCTAGAGATGCAAGAAATAGTACAATCCTTAAAGATTTCAACAATGATGGTCTACAGCATTTCCCTGCTTAATTCACTATAGTAGCCTTGAAAAAAAAATCCACAGATGGATGTGGCAGATGGTGACAAACTACAGTAAACTTAACAAATGGCAGCCCTAATCATAGCTGCTGTGCTGAAGATAGTATCTTTACTAGAGCAAATAAACACAGGCTCTGGTTGTAGTAGCTATTGATTTCCTCAATGTGTTCTTTTCAATACCCATCAGGAAAGAAATTCAAAAACAGTTTGTACATATCTGAGATAGATGGCAATACATATTCAGACTTGTCCTGTGTCTGTTAATCCTCCTTCTATCTGCCACAATACAGAACAAGGGAAACTAGACCATCTCAACACTATAAAGGTCATTAGACAAGCCCTTCATATTGATCACATACGGGCATCAAACTGTCATGCAGTCTATATGGCCTGTTGAGGTCCATGTATATGAGAAAATAGAAAGTAATCCCCAGGGCTGGCACTGTAGCTCAATGAATTAAAGCCCTGGACTGCAGCACCAGTATCCCATACGGATGCTGGTTTGAGTCCTGGCTGCTCCACTTCTGATCCAGCTCCCTGCTAATGCTCCTGGTAATCAGCAGAGGATGGCCCTAGTCCTTGGGCCCCTGCATCCATGAGGAAGACCCGGAAAAAGCTCCTGGCTTCAGATCGGTGCAGCTCTGGCCATCATGGCCATTTGGGGAGTGAAACGCAGATGGAAGACCTCTGTCTCTCTGTTTCTATCTCTCTCTCTAATTCTTTAAATAAATCAAATCTTTTAAAAGGTAATCCCCAAAGATTCATAGAAATTAGTGAAGATTTTAAAGAGCTAATGAAAGCCATGCAAAGGAACCATTTATATCTCCTTCAAAAGATAGTACAAGTAGTTACCTGGTCCACTTGCCACCGCCTGGATCCATGCTAAGGATCTATTTCCCTTAGATCTTTCCCAGTCAATAATTGACTATGGTGGAGATACAAATAATGGCCTATAAGATGACTGATACCTTCTGTAGGGGGTAACTTTTACTACTAATGTCTATAAACCTGGTCTCCCATATGGGTAGCAGGGGTAGCAGGGGCCTAAGAACTTGGGTTATCTTCCATTGCTTTCTCAGGCATGTTAGCATGGAGCTGGATCAGAAGTGGAACTGCTGGGACTCAAACTGGCACAAATAGGGGATTGCTGGGGTGACGAGTGTTGGCTTAAACCACTGCACGCACCACAATGCCAGCCCCCAACCCTCTTTCTTTTCCTTCACTTACCACAGGTGTCAGATTTGCTTCATGCTCTCAGGCCCACCCTGCCTACTCCTACTTATTCCCTTTTATCCTGTGCTAGTCTTTCCTCTGATGAACCTCTTGCACATTTATTCCCATCCTGATTATCTCCTTCTTGTAGGACCTAAGCCAACACAGGATCCAAAGTCTGGGACATCCTAAGACATTATCTCCGACATAAAGACCAGTTTATTGAAACTTGTACTTCTACCCCTAAAAAAGTGGTATACATTTTGTAGAGTTTCAGAAGAATATTTACTACATGCAGAAATCCTATTCCAACTCATGTCCAGTGAAATGGAAGACTGCCAATTTTGAGTTGATCCCCAAGCACACATTGAATGGCCATCCATCAGAGTTATTTCTTGTAAGCTGAGTAGAATTATGTCCAGCAAGTGCAGTAAGATTGAGCACATCAGTTCACCACATACTGCTATCAGGACATTTGAAGTCTTAAGGGAACAAAATAAGTCATACAAAAAGGTGACCCAATGGACAGGTGATATACAAAGGAAAAAGCCTACATCAGGTTTGCAGATGGGTTAGCTCCATCTATTGTGGCTATCCGAAGCTGAGCTATTGCCATATTGCAATTCTGTTCAGGAGGCTGGCTCTGAAAATTAGCTGTGCAGATAGATCTTCCTATTAAGTATAAGCCTAAGTACTTGATTTGGTTTCACTTTAAGGGCTAAGTTTCAATATCTCAGGATATACACAGACTCATGCACATAACAAATGGTTTAGCTAGAGTAAAAGCCTGGAAAGAGCCAAGCCTGGCAGAAATAAGACAAGGAGTTATGGAAAAGAAAGATGTTAGGGGACCCACAGCAATGAGCACAAAATATGAGGCTGATAACTACCAGATAATGCAGAAGCAGCTCTGAACAACCAGCTATAAAGGGTGAACCACCCAAACGAGGTTGGCCAATTTCTGTCTGTTCACTCACCCCAGTGTTTGCACAAGGAAACCATGGCAGAGTAGTTAAGTTGGTAAAAATAGAGGTTATACCAGATTCATCAGTATAGTCTCCCTCTCACAAAAACTAACTTAGATATTATCATCACTTAATGTCCAGCCTACTTTAAACTCTCAGTATGGTATTATCTTTTGAAGAAAACAAGTAGTCAACTGTTAGTTGATCACACATGACCCCTTCCATTTGGTAGTTGGACAATTTATCCTACCTGGAGTTAATGTTCATTCTGGGTCTAAGTTTATATTCCCTGCCACAGTTACCTTGGAGAGCACAACTCTCAGAGGTTTTGTATGGTTTATTTATTGATATGGAATCCTGTGCAACATTACTTCATGAAAAAGACTTACTTTATATCAAAGGAGAGAGAACACTGGGTCCCCTGTCACAGGACCATCTATGATCAGACCTGGAATCAGGGGCACTTTTAAGACTCAAATGACCATCATGGGGCTGATACTCTGTCTGTACTTCCAAGTGCAATGTATGTTATAAACCAAATGTCCATTTTACTGCTGTGACCCAAATATTTAGATTATAGGGTCTCAAAAACATGGGATGGAAATAGGACTAATCTATCTTACCATAACCCCAAGAGATACACTGGGGAAATTTGTCATTTCCATGCCCATGAGTTTAGATTCTTCAGATTGGAGGTCCTGGATGGCAAAGGTTTTTTATTTCTATAATGGCTACAGTAGGCACTCAAGTAAATCTAAATGGTGACCTCCGTGTGATCACTGTGGACTCCTTATGCCAGATGTAGTGATCTATCCAGTGAATATGGAATACATGTGATGAACTATAATTTCTGTTTATGTTGGGGGCAGAAAGAAATACTATGTCTGAAATTTAATCTTGGGTGTGCCTCTTGGTCCTTGCATGCCTGGTGTTAACTATAAATGGGAAATTGAGGTACATGGGCATAATAATGGCAAAAACTTTGAGGTTGTGAAAGGTCAACACCTTGAAGAAAGAGAGATAGAACACAGCAGACTTGAAGTGGGAACAGATGATCTGGATAACAAGGCTCTGCTCATACTAATGTTTCTTATCCAAGACATCATATACAGCTTTGTTGGACATTTTCTATATACACCAATAATGGACTATCTCAGGTACCTGCATCTCATGCCTGAGGTTTTTCTCTGGCTGTGAAAAAATTCTCAGCCTGGCTCACAGGCAGGGCATAAATTCCAGAGGGAAAGCCCTGTTGTGGCTCTAAGTTGGCCACAAAGTCTCTGACACCCCTCTTACCACAAGGTGGAGTCTAGCCGGCCTCCCCTTGAATCTGGGCTATCTTTAATGACTTCTGAAGGTAGTCTAGTATTGGCTAATCAGATTCTACTTTTTGTTCACTTCAGGGCCTCTAAGCAATGTAAGGAATCTAACTACCTTCTGAGTTTGAAAACGTAAGAAGCTGAAGCCATGAGAAAACACTACCAATAGGAGCTCCAGTCTCCACTGACCCCAATCCTGATTCATCCCACATCAAGTGCCAGATGTGACAGAAGCCTCCAGATGTTTGACGCCCTTTGCTCAAGTGATCCCCAGATGCATGATCTTATCATGCACTGTCACTTCTACCATATTCTGTTTTTTTTTCCCCATATGGTTTGTTTCTTCTGAATCAAATAGCCATTTTCTGCTGAAGGCAGAAAAACCAGCCAGGAGACCACAAGAAGACTACTTTAGGCCTCAGCTTGAAAGCAGTTGCAATAGTAAAACTGCTGGTCTTCAGTCAGGGCCATATATTGTATTTCTTAAGACCAACTCCAGGCCACACTCTAGAGGAAGGAAATTAGTTGCCATTGTTTGAGGGAAGTGTGTTCAGAAATTTTTACACATTTTAAAACCATAACATTTGTGTTTTATCAAACCATGAGTGTATCTCATATTTAGGTTTATTTCAAAATGTCAATAAAGTTTTATAATTTTCCATAAGGTCTTAGAAAATGTTATTTTATTCTGAGCTATGTTAAATCACTTGATACTTTTTGCAAATGAGGTCTTTTAAACATCTTGATGCTCCATTTCTCTCTTTAGCCTAGAAATGCAACTTATTTTTGTATATCAGCCAATTGAAAACAATACAGCTTTGTTCCTTCACTGATAGCTTCTTCCGAGTTTTCTGAATAATCCTGTAATCTGTGCATTAATCAAGGACTCATCAGAAAGCAGATGGCACCCCAAAACTGGGTAAATGAAAATAACTAAAAATCTCCACTGTTTACAAATGGGGCAGTTCACAATGCACAAACCAGAGTTAGTAACCTGAGGAATGAGTACCATCCAGGACACGGGACAAAATGGAGGAGCGGTTGTCTGAGAAATTGTCTGAAAAGAGTCACCTGGCAGAATTCAAGGCCTTTGTTAGAAGGACAAAGAGCCAGGAAATGCATAACCTCACTTGTTCTGCCTACTACCCTCCAATGTGTCCTATTTGCTAAATCCAAATAAAGGCCAAATTGATACCAGATTGAGACACATTTCCTGGAACACAGAACAGAAGGGAGTGATTAAATGAGGATCCAAAGAGGAAAACACAAGGTATTCAGTGCAATGTTTGAAAGAATGACAGTTTTATTTCTTCTTTCCCAAATCTTCATTCTTTCAAATGAAAATTGTTAGTTAATATGCCTAGGTTTTATCTTTTTTCTAGCTTACCTGAGGTATAATTGACAAATACAAATGGTATACATCTAAGATAAACACCATACTGATGATGATATATATCATGAAATGATTACCACAGTCAAGTTAATTAACATTAATCCACCCATTGCTATACTTAATTGTTGTGTGTGTGTGTGTGTGTGTGTGTAAGGACACTGAAGGTCTACTCTCTCAGCAAACTTCAAGTTAACTCATTATTCACAATAGTCACCATGCTGTATATTAGATTCCTAGAACCTATTCATTTTACAGGTCAAAGTTCGCACACTTTGGCCAACATTTCCCTGATTTCCCAACTCTAACCACTGGCAAGCACCCTCTTACTCTCTGCCACCATGGCTTTATTTTTTTTTTTTTTTAGATTCCACACATGTAACTGAGATCACATACTATTTATCATTGTGTCTGGTTTATTTTGCTTAGCATAGTGTCCTCCCATTTCATTCATATTGTTGCAAGTGAAATCTCTTGTTTTTATGGCAAATTGCTATCCCATCTTTTCTCAATCCATTCATCTATCAATGTATCTTGGCTATTGTGAATAATGCTACATTATTGGAATGAAAATATCCCAAGATACTAATTTCATTTGCTTTGGAGAAATCCTGGAGGTGAAATTTCTGAATTTTATGATATCTTTTTAACTTTTTGAAGAACCTCCATACTGTTTTCTTTAATGACTGAACCAATTTACATTCCCACTAAGGGTTTACAAAGATTATTCTTTCCACACCCTCACCAACACTTCATCTTTTATGTATAATAGTCATGCTAACAGGCTGAAGTGATGCCTCACTGTGGGTTTAATTTCATTCTTGTGTTCATCAGTGATGTTGAGCACCACTTCATGTAATTTGCAGCCATTTGTTTATCTTTATTGCAAAAAGTGTTTACTCCAGGCCTCTGCCCATTATCTAATTTTTTTTCTTGCTGTTGAGTTATATGAGGTGTCCAAGTTTTTTTTTTTTTTTAAAGATTTTTTATTTGTATGGCAGAGTTTACAGAGACAGATAGATTTTCTATCTGCTGGTTCACTCCCCAGATGGCTACAACAGCCAGAGCTGGGCTGAGCTGAAGCCAGCAGCTTCATCCAAGTCTCCCATATGGGTGCAGGGGCCCAAGAACTTTAGACATCTTCTGCTGCTTTCCCAGACACATCAGCAGGGAACCAGATCAGAAGTGGAGCAGCCAAAACTCGCACTGGTGCCCATATGGGATGCCAGCATCACAGCCAACAGTTTTATCTGCTACACACCAAAGCACTGGGTCCCTAGATGCCCAAACCTTAAGGAGGGGGAAGAAATGAAGATTGTATGCCTATATAAGATATTTTTCAGCTGAGAAACTTCTCAAACATAGTATATTTAAATTGACTGGATCTGACATCATGAACCCCTAGTACTAACAGAGGTTATCAAATAAAGCTACAGCCCTCTAGAAATCATAGGAGAAGTTTTACTGCAGTTAACCAGAAAGTTAAGAAATTGTCAATTTCATATTAAAACTTGGAAAGAGATAGATAGAATTCATCACACAATGTTCTATTCCCTACAAAATTCAAAGATCACAAAAAGCAGTAATTTTGTGTGAAAATTAAGTCATTCCATTAACAATTGAGTTTCAATTTTTGACAGATGTTCAGACCACATAAAACATGCAGAGTTGGGGCCAGCATTGTATTACAGTGGGTAAAGCCACCATCTGCAACAATGTACATCCCATATAGCCACTGGTTCAAGTCCTAGCTGTTGCAGCTATCTGGGGAGTGAGCCAGTAGATGGAAGATTTCTTTCTCTCTCTTTTTCAAATAATATTTTTTTTAAAAAATGCAGGAATTATATAAATTTCCTACAAAATTTTAGGCCCACATGAGGACATCATAGGGGAGTTCGAAATGTGTAATCCTCATTCCAGTACTATTAGGTAGCAAAATGGCTAGTCTCCTTTCAAGATGCTTTTTTTTAAGTTTTTAAGCTTTTTATTCAGTGAGAGAAATGCATAGCAGAGGGAGGGTTCTATCTGAGAGAGGGAGGGAAATATAGATCCATACCAAGCAGAGAGCAGGCCAAGTGCCATGTGCAGCAAGTGTTTGTTATGAGCAGCTTCTAGCAGCTTAGCATGGGCAGAGAAGCAAAGGAACAGAGTGTGGGCAGTCCAAAGGCCATATGCCTGGAACCTTCAAGAATCTCTAAAGCTTAAGACTGACCTTAAAGGAAGTTTTGCAAGTTTGTACCTAATGATGATGCACTATGTTTGCCAATGATGTGGAAAGCACTTTAAATAATATTATCAAATTTACAAATGTTTTTGAATTAGATTCCAAAAGACTTAATCAGACTTTAAATTAACCTCAAAGAAAACTGGGGAAAAAGCCATGTTTACCTTAACACTATTCACAGCAGCCACATTATGGAACCAACCCAGGAACCCCCAATAGGGAATGATTGGACGTAGCAATCACTAACCATTGTACCATTGGAGTAGTACTCCGCCATTGCAAAGAACAGTCCCCCCAGTTGCAGCAGCACAGAGGGAGCCTGGAAGATACTGTGTTCAGTTTAACAAGTCAAGCACAGAAAGAAATCTCCTGCATGTGCCCACTTACATGCGATTAAGTGTAAAAGCTGCAAAAGTTGCTGAACTAGAGTTGAACAGTGATGACCAGAAGCTAGACACAGGAGGAGAGAAGAGAGATGATGGTTAATGGGCACAAGGCTGCAGTTGGATGGGAGGACTAATATCTGATGTTCTACAGCAGTGAGGTAACAGAGAAAACAGTTCAAAGTGTGTTTCAAAAATATCCAGTACAAAGGATCCTGAATGTTCCCAACACAAAGAAACAGCAAACATTTGAGGTGATGGGTATGCTAATTAATCTGATTATACATTGTAGACATGCATAGAAACATCACACTAGAGATTGAAGATGGCTGAAGCAGATACACTGAAGACGGCTGAAGCAGATACACTGCTTTTGATCGTGGGAAGAGAAGTTGAAAAGTGGAGGAAGTGTATTCCCAGGGGAGAGCTGGAGAGAAGTTTACTGTGGAATTTCTACAGAGAGAAGAGGGATGCCATGGAGTATGGAAGGTGTGGATACACAGGAATGAGTGCCAAAACCACACATGGTCCCTTCTGTCAGGAACTAGAGGAGACACCAGCTTTGGATAGTGAAGTGAGAGCTGACAGCCCATGCCATGGGTGACCATGTCTGAGGGAGTCATTGTGCACCTGCTTTCCATGTAGGACCTCTGTCCTTAATGTGTTGTACTATGCAAATTAACGGTAAAACTACTACTTAAACAGTACTCTGTACTTTCTGTGTATGTGTGGGTGCAGTCTGTTGAAATCTTTACTTAGTATATACTAAGTTGATCTTCTGTATATAAAGATAATTGAAAATGAAGCGTGATAAAGAATGGGATGGGAGAGGGAGTGGGAGATGGGATGGTTGTGGGTGGAAGGGAGGTTATGGGGGGAAAGCCATTATAATTAAAAAATTGTACTTTAGAAATTTATATTCATTAAATACAAGTTAAAAAACAAAATAAAAGTTTTTAAAAAATGTGCTACAAACAGAAACAAAGAAAGATAGTTATCATTATGAAAGTACATGAAGGCAAAAACTTCCCAGTAAAAGTACAAAGAAATCCAAACCAAACCATTGGAATATTTTTTACTTATCAATAGTAACCTTGAATGTAAATGGCCTAAACTCTCCAATTAAAAGATACAGACTGGCTGAATGGATTAAAAAATAAGGCCCATCTATTTGCTGCCTACAAGAAACACACCTCACCAATAAAGATATAGACTGAAAGTCAAAGGATGGAAAAACATATTCCATGCTAATGGAAAGCAAAAAATGAGTGTTTACCTATCCTAATATCAGACAAAACAGACTTTAACACAAAAAAATAGAAAAAAGAAGAGCACTATGTAATGATTAAGGAATGAATTCAACAGCAAGACAGGACTAAAATAAATGTATATTCACCCAATGCCAGGATGCCTGAAGAAATGTTAATGGACCTAAAGGGAGACACAGACTACAATAAAATAGCAATGGGGGACC